TTAAGATAGCCTACAAGTACTAGGCAACTACACTGAACAAAAATATAAAACGCAAGATGTAAAGTGTTGGTCCCATTTTTTAGCTAAAAAAAAAAAAAAAAAGCGTATTTCTCTAAAATGTTGAGCACAAATTTGTTTACATCACTGTTAGTGAGCATTTCTCCTTTGCCAAGATAAGCCATCCACCTGACAGGTGTGGCATATCAAGAAGCTGATTAAACAGCATAATCATTACACATGTGCACCTTGTGCTGGGGACAATAAAAGGCCACTAAAATGTGCAGTTTTGTCACACAACACAATGCCACAAGTTTTGAGGGTGTGTGCAATTGGCATGCTGACTGCAGGAATGTCCACCAGAGCTATTGCCAGAGAATGTAATGTTCATTTCTCTACCATAAGCCGCCTCCAACGTTGTTTTAGAGAATTTGGCAGTACGTCCAACTGGCCTCACAACCGCAGACCATGTGTATGGCGTCGTGTGGGCGAGCGGTTTGCTGATGTCAACGTTGTGAACAGAGAGCCCCATGGTGGCGGTGGGGTTATGATATGGTCACGCATTAGCTACGGATAAAGAACACAATTGCATTTTATCGTAGACAATTTGAATGCACAAAAATACCGTGACAAGATCCTGAGGCCCATTGTGAGGCCCATTTTTAAAAAAGCTATCTCTGACCAACAGATGTATATCTGTATTCCCAGTCATGTGAAATCCATAGAGTAGGGCCTAATGAATTATTTCAATTGACTGATTTCCTCATATGAACTGTAACTCAGTAAAATCTTTGAAATTGTTGCATGTCGCGTTTATATTTTTGTTCAGTATACATTCAAAGATCGGTCGTCTGAACACTAACGATAACAGTTGTTCCTCCTTTCCAGCAGCAAATCATTGATGGTCTTAAAGTGCTGGCCAAATAAAAGAGCGATGGGAAAGCTTCGAAGTAAACTGCTCTTCTGTTAGCGCTACAGTACAAGGCTCATATAAAAAAAGGGGCTTAGAAACAGTTTCCAGGGCTAGTTTCCAAGCTAAAGTTGACTTTCTATGGCTGCCCTTACATAACCTGTTTCTGAAACCTTGTAAATGTCATGTTTATACTATAATACATTTCTGTGTCCTTTATATAACAATACAATGGAGAGAAAATCAGCCAGGGAAGTATCAAATGTCAATCATTCCGTAAAGCTTCATTTTAAACCCCTATCTGACCAATAAGACCTTGTCCTCGTCTACTCTCACATCTGAAGCAGCCTGTCCTTTACAACAAGCTCTGACATTTCAACACCTAATTCAATTTGGTTTAGTGAAGGAGGTGAGATGCTTAATCTATTTCACCTTCCTGGACTCAACCTACAACTACCCTCCACTGCAATGCCCATGTGAGGGAATGGGGACATGACAGGGGGTGACCTGCTGGAAAGGACAACACTTCTCTCTCACTCACACACACACACACACACACACACACACACACACACACACACACACACACACACACACACACACACACAGTGTAGTACTGTGTGTGCGCACGCGTGGCCATGGTTTCTTAGTACCATGCCATTACATCGTCACCCCGTCCTCATGTTCCCGTCTCTACTGTAACCTCAGTAACCACGTGCTGACAGTAATGGGTGCTGAGAAAACAGGAGATGAGAGTAAACAAACACACTACGCACTTCTTCCTCACCCTCTCTCTCCTCCCCTAAATTGTAACGAGACCCCTCTCTCTCCTCCCTCCTCTCCTAAGCTGTAATGAGACCCTCTCTCTCTCTCTCTCTCTGGGCGTAAAGTGATAGCACATAAAGGTCAGAGAGGGACAAGGGTCATTCTAACACCAAGGTGACAACCAGCAAACTAGGCCACGGTCTTGGACATCTTAGGCTTCTCTAGTTGAGACAGTTACAGACTCCAGCTAAAGCTGTCATTCATGCAACAAATCTAAGATGGTTATACAGTAGGTGGGTTTGAGGGGTTGCTATGCTATTGAATCAATGTTAGGTGCAATGTAGTTTGCACCTAAAAGTGGTTGAATGTCCCGTTGAGATGTTCAGATCGATGAGCAACTGTAATCACATTGACAATATAGCTAACAGCCTTTTCAAATCAAATCAAAACCTAAATCAATTATTCCTATTGATCCTAAGGCTTTGTGGAGAAAAGAAAAGCAATGTACTGTATACATAATACCTATACAACCATATACTGTACATATCAAGGTTTTCATAGTCTTATACAAACCCTAGACTAGGCTTACGCTGTTGTGCTAGCAGAATAGGTGTTGGCTCTTGCTTTCGGACGTGAATTAGCTTACAACTAACTAGCATACTGCCCATTATGGTTATGGACCTCAATGTTAGCAGAGGAGCGATGACCTCTTCGTTTGCATTGACAACATTACAGCATGGCTTTTGCTTTAAAGGGCATCGTTCAATTAAATGGTTATAATTAATAAAATCGCTATACACATTTTACACCAATGTACTGCATTGAATTACTAGATTTGCCCATGTCGTCATGCCTGTATCTCCAGGTCATCATTATAAATAACATGCAAACCTCACCGGCCATGTGGTGCTTGCCCGTGTGACCAAGCGCTAAAATAGAACTTGGTTCTATTAGTCGCATTGCAAGTCCCCTCCTTATTGGATATCAGGAAGATACAACCCAAGCGGATGTTTGAAAGATAAAACGAGGCGAGATTAATTACAGATAACGAACTAAAAACGAACTAATTTTCCCTTTTTATCTGTGGATTAATCGTTGGCGTAGGGAAACACACGATTTGTATGACTTCGGGTCAAAATTCTACAAAGAACCAGGTAATAAGAGAACCATATGCATGTCAGGTAAAATAACGACCCAATGTTCATCTCCTAGGACAAACTAGCTAGCTAAATGTCCATGAATGTTTCATGTGTGTTTCAACCTGCCCCCAAATCAATATAGTTGGTTTTGATATTTGAACCTGCTTGTCATGATCGTGTCTGGTGTGGATGGACAATATCATACGGCCGGTGGTCAGCGTGTAAGAATTTGTTTTTTAATTGACTCACCTGGATAAATAAAGGTTAAATTAATTATATATTCTTGGCCATTGAGGTGGTTAGACGATAAAGAGCCCCACACCTCATATCCTATACAGTGATGCCTAAAACCTCAAATGCCTATGGAACACTAGATTTTCAAAAGGGGAGTGCTAAAAACCAATGGGAAATGTTAAACTGACAAGGTCTTTTAAAAATGTCAAAACACTTGATGTGAATAAGGTGCAAGAGAGTAAAGAACAATAGATCAGGCCCATAAGATGAATTGTAAGATGCGACTACCGACAAGAGAATATGGGGGGGGAAAAAACACCACAAAATGGTTCTGAAATGGCCCATACTAGAGCGTTTTCTTAAAGGGAACTTGTAACAAACATATCCTCCTGAGACACAGCAATTCATTTTTTTGTCAACTCTCTTTGAGGCCATACATGCCACTGTGTTAAGTCCTGTTGTACCTGAGAGGACATTCTGGGCTTTTCAATGATATCACATGTGTGGTGGTGTGACCTGGATAACTTTCTCTTCCTGGATTTTCAAAATGGCTGCCAACACAATTAGCACATGTGGTAAGAAGGTAAGTGTGTGTAATTGTGTAATTATCATTTTTGTGAGTTTGATATTCAAATTGCTTCTAGTAAGTAAATATCTTAGAAACTGTTTGAGTTTTCAGAGTAGTGTAATCCTTTTTTCACATTAAATAAGAGCTTGTTTATAAATGTCCTCTGTAGTGGACATCAGGATGTGCCTACTATGTTTTTTATCTACTGTACCCATTTGGTGTAATGTTAATTTTCCATATTCACTATCAACCGTTTCCTTGTGTCCACTACAGTGCACATACAATAAACAAATTTTTTTTTTTTTCTTCAAATGTGTCTTTGTAAATTATTTTAACCCAAAACACTTAAGTTAAGTACAAAAAAAAATAACATTCTAAAACCTTTTTTTGCTGGGTCTCAGGAGGATAACAGTATTTTATGACATTTTAGGGTTTGGCTTATATAGGGGAGTTTAGTCCGTTCAAGATCAACAAATCTCTTGGTGTTGGTTGCATCACAAACCTCCCCTTATATAAATGATGAGCATAAACTGTACAGTATAAACATCTCAGCGATGCTGCCAATTTTGTATGTTTGATTAAAATAGAGAGACGATGCTTGAAGCGGCGATGCCAGGTTTGCGTCTCAACATTTTCAAGTCTGCGCTTGACACATTCCTTAGCCTTAGGGCGAGTTGGTAAAGAAAGCGGTTCATCGAGATTAGCACAGTGAAAACATTACATCCAGCGTGAAGTACATCCATTGTACAGCACCGAGTATACGAACTAGAACCCTGACCAACTGAATGACAAACGATGACAAAAGACAACCACATAAACAACAATCTCATATTAACCCTGAAATTAAAATCAAGCCGTTAAGAGGTTAATTGTGTGATAAAATGCACCTAGTGAAAAGAGGTTTACTCTAAGTGTCTGACTCAAAAATAAGGCTAACTTTTCTTAAAAGTAGAAGAACGATTGTAAACGTTATGAAAACAAATGTGGAACATTGTCTGTGACTAAAACAGTCCAAACCTTTGGTAACGCATAATTATGTTCCCTCGTCTCTCAGGCTAATTCTCCCAAAACCCAAGATCACCCAAGAAGGCAACTGCCTTCCATTCACTTAAAAAAAGAAAAAAAGAGCAATGACGACTATTGAAAAAAAGATGGCTATTTAGTCTCATTTTCTCTTTTGGTTCATAAAACAAGTTGTCCTAAGTCCTTTCTTAACAGTTTTGGATTTATCGGTTCCTCAACCAATGGGATAGCGAACTCAAATGAGGTGGTGGTGGAGTGAGAGGAGGTGGACCTTTCCCCAGTAGTGCCCCGCTCAGGGGGAGGAGCTGCTGCAACCAGGCCCCTCCCTATTACTCACAATGGGAGGAGCTAGTTATTTTTTTTAGGGAAGAAATGGTTCATCCTCCTCATCCTCATTACTAGGGCCCGGGTCACTCAGACACCTCATCAGCCCTGGGTTCTTGTTGCCCCCCTCTTCCTCTCCCTTCTCCCCTTTCCCCGCCGAGGACGGCTTCATCATCAGGCCCTGGTCCTCATCCCGGTCGGCCCCCTCCCTCTGACCCAGGCCCTGGCCCGTGGCACCCCGCTTGGAGAACTCGTCCAGCATGTTGACAGAGTCCGGGGACTTGGGGGAGGCTAGATCCACCTGGATGGTGGGGATGCCGTCTGAAGACGCCTTGATGTTGTAGAAGGCGTTGGGGTCTGCGTGGGACAGGCAAGGAAAGGGTTAACGTACGGTACATTACTCCAAACAGGGGAGGCCAACCAAAGGGCACGTTGAGTAGGCAAACGTTGTGTAACGTTGGAGATAGAAATGTCATGAATAGAGCTTACTTGATTCCTATTCTACACGTCAAGTGTATGTTTGTTCCATATAATATCTTTATTTCTGAACGTTCCACAACGACATGGCCGGCTGAACGTAGCCCTGGTAGTGGTGATGAGCCACAATGTGTGCAGGGATTTTGTTACAGCCCTTGTTTAGTAGAAGCATGTGTGCTAGTGCAGAGATGGCCTAGAACAGCAGCTCACACATTGTGCCTCTCCACAACTAGGGTTTGCCAACCCTGACTAGAACAAATACTTAAACTGTTACCGAACAAAAACCAGATATACAATACAAATTTTAAAAAATCACAAAGCACCCACATTACACATTTTTAAATACACAATCATGAACAGACACTTACACCACAACTGTGGTGATGCATCATTCCGTAACCTGATCCTGTCAATCACATTAACAATTTATGCTAGAATCATGCATATTGCATTTACAACTGGAAGCAAGCAACAGTTAAAATATGACATGCATATACAGTAAGTTTGTAGCCGAGGCCATTGGTCGCCACAGCCCATCACTTGTCTACACTCACTAGAACTGTACTACATACCTGGAATTACTTTGGCCCCTCCCTTTTCAGCTTTGAAATCACTGCCTAAAATAGAACCAAGTGCAATACCGCTTTACATGCCAACTTACACATGCAAACATATTTCCAGTAGAAATGTAATAAAAGTGGAGTAGCCTACTGTATAACAGAGTGACATATTAGTGCATTCTGTAGATAGCATCATTGGCAGCCATTAAACTTCATAAACGTTAACAATCTTGCCAAACTAAGTATACTAAATGTGAAGCAAATGGGTTCCTTCCGACTCAAAACTCTGCAATGGAACAAGTCTGTTTCCATCATCTTTCCTATTGCTTCATAAGCAACCTTACAATAAGTGTTGATTCACACTACTAAGCCAAGCTAGCCTGGTTACACATCCCCATAGTTACTGGAACCATGCTGGAAAGGACAATTGTAAAATAAATATCAGCGCCAGCACAGTGCGGTAGGGTAGGGGTTGTCACGGTAGTGTAAAATGGGAGCTTCAGAGTGTGACGTGGGTGTAGGATGGACTCACCTGAGGCCAGCCTGGCTCTGCACATGGTGGGGGAGTCAGGAGGGGCGGCAGGGACCGTGAGATAGTTACTCATCTCTGTCATCTGTTCACAGGCACACACACACACACACACAAGCAACCATTTCAATATACAAGAGCTGTGGGTTCAATTCCCGCATCAGACACACATAGTGAATACTGTATATGGATTGTCGTCGACTGCCAGTCACTTTAGTTGAAAGCATATAGCCATACAGCCATATTATTTACGATACAATAGGATACTTTATTGTCCATTTTAATGGAAATATTTTTAGTGAGGTCAGCAATACATTCAAACACTAGATAAGCCTACACCAAATCAATACAACACAATATGGCTGCCAATATCATAAAGGCCAACCAAGACACTTTTTGAAGACACCGCTGTTTAAAGTGCTATTAAAAAGTTTGACAGGTCAGTAAATTGTGTTTACTGGTCTGATGGGATCAGCATTTTCCTCCACTTTTAAAAGTTATATTAAATCAAAATGTTAATTTCCAAAATAAACAATTCTGCTAGTATCTGCAGATCTCTCAGGTCTACAGTGTCCTTTTTAATCAAACAGTTCTATTTAATCAAGATGTTAGTTCCATTTTCATTACATAGAGACTGATTAAATGCAAGTTGGCCGTCGGGCCACAAGGCTGCATAAATAAATCAGGAACTGATTGTGTCAGGCAAATTATTTGAGTGGAGGGGGGAGAGACAATTTATGGAAAACTTTAATGACAAAATCCATCATAGTTAGACTAAATTAATGCAATGGTTTTAAAGAAAGTTTACTACTGTGAGCAGTGAGAGAACTTTGTGTCTGGTTGTCTGTTGAAGTTCTCTCTATGTCTGGGGGAGTCTTAGCATGGCTTCCCAAAATTATTTTGCTAAATTTCATTGTTTCACCCAGAAGAACCGATGTTTTGACCAGATCCAAAGAGCAGCGTTTGGCCACGTGGGCTTCTATCCTAAATCCCCTCTTTCAGAGAATAGGCTGTTTGGACCGGTTATTTTTGTGAGGATTCCACATACCCGTCTATTTGTGTGTCATTTGGCCATGAGGGGATAAATAAAGTTCTATTGAATTGAATTAGTGGCGTTCCAGACTAAGTGAGCACAACAATGGAGAGCGCAGCGTTCAATCTGGTTTAACCAGGCTAGGTGATTCTGGTAGTCTTACCTTCTTCTCTAGCTCGATCATCCTCTGCTTCTTCAGGATGAAGTCGTTCCATCCATCCTCGAAAGGATCAGCCACCAGAGTGTGTCTGTTGTAGGAGCGCAGCTGGAGGGAGAGACAACACACACTCAGCTCACACTATGGGACAGCAATGTTATAGAGCTAGGATCACACAATAATAATAATAATAATAATACACTTTTCAGGCACCAGAGTGCATCTGTTGTAGGAGCGCAGAGACAAAACACATTCATTCAACTCACCACGAGACAGGGAGGTCTAGGCTAGGACCACACAGCAACAATGCACACTTGTATCCATAATGATACAGGCTCATGACTACTTTAGTACTATAATCTTAAGAGATTTGACGTTTGACAATACTAATGAAGAAATTACAAACTGCGAAGCAATGTGATGAACGTAAAATAGATGAAAGCATGACTAAGTCGCTGTGGATAAAAAGCATATATTATATTATTATATTATGTACAATTGTAATCTCTTTACAAACAGAGTGAGCATCTGAATTCCTACATTACTAGCTGAGAGCAAGCCCCTAATCGCTAAAAACGGATCTGAGATCAGCTTTGCAGTTGCCCTCCTAATGTTACCCCTCAGATAAGCTGAGGGTAAATCTGATCCTGGATCAGTGCTCACCCTCTGGCGGGTCTTCTGCAGGTTACTCCTGAGGATCTTCCTGATCTCCTCCTCACGGCCCTTGGTGAACTGAGGCAGGGCCCGCTCTGCTACAGGAGGAGGCAGCTTCTTGGGCTGGATGTTCCTGGGAGAGAGGACAGAGAAAAACAAGATACATGTTCAAATCAAATCACATTTTATTGGTCACATCAAAAATGTTATGAATTGATTTGTATTTTAAATGAGGGAAATTAGTACTTGGTGGCAAAACCCTTGTTGGCAATCACAGAGGTCAGACGTTTCTTGTAGTTTGCCACCAGGTTTGTACACATCTCAGGAGGGATTTTGTTCCACTCCTCTTTACAGATCTTCTCCAAGTCATTAAGGTTTCGAGGCTGACGTTTGGCAACTCGAACCTTCAGCTTTCTATGGGATTAAGGTCTGGAGACTGGCTAGGTCACTCCAGGACCTTAATATGCTTCTTCTTGAGCCACTCCTTTGTTGCCTTTGCCGTGTGTTTTGGGTCATTGTCATGCTGGAATACCCATCCACGACCCATTTTCAATGCCCTGGCTGAGGGAAGGAGGTTCTCACCCAAGATTTGACGGTACATGGCCCCGTCCATCGTCCCTTTGATGCGGTGAAGTTGTCCTGTCCCCTTAGCAGAAAAACACCCCCAAAGCATGTTTCCACCTCCATGTTTGACGGTGGGGATGGTGTTCTTGAGGTCATAGGCAGCATTCCTCCTCCTCCAAACACGGCGAGTTGAGTTGATGCCAAAGAGCTCGATTTTGGTCTCATCTGACCACAGCACTTTCATCCAGTTCTCCTCTGAATCATTCAGATGTTCATTGGCAAACTTCAGACGGCCCTGTATATGTGCTTTCTTGAGCAGGGGGACCTTGTGGGCGCTGCAGGATTTCAGTCCATCACGGCGTAGTGTGTTACCAATTGTTTTCTTGGTGACTATGGTCCCAGCTGCCTTGAGATCATTGACAAGATCCTCCTGTGTAGTTCTGGGCTGATTCCTCACCTTTCTCATGATCATTGCAACTCCACGAGGTGAGATCTTGCATGGAGCCCCAGGCCGAGGGAGATTGACAGTTATTTTGTGTTTCTTCCATTTGCGAATAATCGCACCAACTGTTGTCACCTTCTCATCAAGCTGCTTGGCGATGGTCTTGTAGCCCATTCCAGCCTTGTGTAGGTTTTTAGCAGATGTTATTTCGGATGTAGCGAAATGCTTGTGTTCCTAGCTCCAACAGTGCAAGAGTATCTAACAATTCTATCTAACAATTCAAGGAGCTAGAAGCAGAGCTGCCATGTCTGTCGGCGCCATTCTTTTTTTGACTGTGGTTCTATGGATAACTATGGTTGTTTTTGGCCATTACCAAGCTCTAACTCACTTAGCAATTCCTTCCTGTAACACCCGCGAGAAAGATTCAGGCACATTCTCCCATACCAGTTATTTACAGGAAGTAATTGCTAGTTCAGCCTCTTGACTTTCAAACCTCTCTGGCGCTCGCACGCACAGGCTTGTGCAGATATAGGCTAACACAACAATGTGGAAATGGCTATTAAGTGTAGAGCTGGTGGTGGTGAGCTAAAAGGAGGTGGAGGAGGGAAGAGGGTGGAGCACTCACTGCATGGAGACCTGCGAGGGCATGGCGGAGGGCAGCTTGACGCCCCCGCCGCTCTCCACCAGCTCGATGGCCTGCTTGAACTCCATCTTGTGGTAGAAGGCGATGAGCTGCGGCTCCTTGTAGCGCTCGCCCGCTATCAGGCACTTCTTTATGTACTTCTTGTTGAAGCGGTTCAGCCTGCAGGGTGGGGAAGAGAGAGAGAAAACAGAGAGAGGAGAGAGAAACGAGAGAGAAGCGCGAGAAAGAAGAAAACAAGTCAACCTTCCCATCACACAGCCATTACCAGCCTCATTAAAACATTAGAAAAAGGTTAAGAACACTTTCCAAATGGATGAAAAGCTCTTAAATAGGCGTAGAGCACACACACTACATTGGAGACAGTGTGGTCACTGGCAGGAACACACACTGTGAAAACCGACCACTATAGGATGAGCCCAGAGTTTATCATAATGCTCTAAATCCAGAAATCAATACAGTTACAAACATTGTTTTATCCCGCTGCTCTAAAGTCTGTATGGAACTGGATCTGAAGGTGAAATATGACAACTGTCGGGTGATAAATCGGCTTACAGAGCTGTCTGAACAAATCTTATACATGGTTATCTTCAGAGGATAACTGCCACATATAACGCCCAAGGCTGTTCAAATGCAATACTGTTGTGGGTAAATACTGCATAGGGAAATAAAACTTACAAAATTATTCAGGTTCACTTGGTTATGAATGGCAATGCTTTATGATTACCATTACATTATTGGATTCAATAAGATTTCATTGTAGGAAAAGCATCTGTTCTGAAAGATAATCAACTTAAGGCGCTAGCTGTTACTAACAATGCCTGAGGGATCACAGCTTCACCACCACATTTGAGTTAACCGTGTTAACAAAGATGCTAAGGCTAAAAGTTCTAACTTGGAACACAATTCAAACAGAAGGAAATAGACAATAAACAACTATAGACAACACAAGACAACTAACAAACATTACTGGACTGGGTACTAGAAAGTTGTTGCCTTAATGATCGTAAAACTTGAATAAGAGGTAATCAAATGTTTTTATACAGTGAACAAAAATATACAGCACTTGTCATCATGACCATTTTAGCCCCGCCTCTGCTACGTACTTGTCTTTCCAGTGGTGATGGCCGTAGTGTCCACAGATGTCCTCGATGCCAGTCAGCAGATGGTCCAGGAACTAGGGGGAGAAAACAATGTTTAAATATTGTATCTACGCTAAACAACAAGAGGAACAGATATTTGAAATGCTTTTACAATGGGAAGTAAAAGTGTAACCAAGCCTAATCTGTTCCTCCTTTTTTTGTTTCTATTACATGTAAAATAGTCCAGTAAAGTATATTTCCACATCATACAGGCCACCATTTTTTCATTTTTGGATGATCCCTTAAGTAGCCTTTTCTCCACGGAGATTCCTCCCAGAATCTGGCCAATAGAGAGAGCATTAGGCCTAGATGATGTCCATCACATTCACAGATTGAAGCAGAGAAATAGGCACTGACAGATTACGTTCAGTCGGTGGTCAATTTTGTTCCTGTACTTTGATTATGGCAACTGCTGTGACAGTTCTGCACAGGGACAGTTTGCAGAGTTGCTATGGGAACAAGCAGTTTGGTCGTGCCACTGAATTTATTGCATTGCAATATTTTCAGGCAGTGAAGGGATTTTTTTTTTACAGTAGTTTCTGCATCAGTTCTATCTCTGGTAGAAGAAAACTTTACATTTGTCACAATAAATGGTACTTTATAATGAAAGCCTCAAGCAAGGTGACACACAGTATGTCAAGGTCAGCCCCAGATGCCAATTAGTCAAGAGCTTCAAATATCCATTCATCAAAACAACCTACTGACCAATTTGTGAGACCACAAACACAATGGTCCCGACATTAAAACCCTGAGGGACTCTAAAATCCTAAAACCCACTAGGCTCTTAAACACCCTTATCCACTCCTGGTGCACTCCAGGAGTCCTACTACAGCTCTGTTTACTTGAATCACTGCCATTTACAGTGGAGAAGAAACGATAAAGCTGGTGACTGGGCCCTCTAGCCTAGAGCGCCGGTGACTCATCGCTCCTCTGTGCACCAGAGAGCCAACAGAGCCCCGCAGAGAGACATTGTGTGTAAAGTACGTGTCACGCCACTATTCTGTGGCTATTATTAGCAACAGGAGCTACTGAGAGACGGTGTGCCATTCTGCTCAGTGGTCACTCAAGGGCAGAGAGAGAATGATCAGTAGCACCAGAGGAAGCCAGACCTAAGCAGGGTGGATATTACTCGCCAATCTGGCAACCCGGATCAATGTGTCAGTGGAGGCAGTGGAGAATGAGAGGATGGTCCATTGGGAGCCATGGAGCAATGTAGGAAGTTTCATTAGTCTGTGTTAAGAGGAAGCAGGGGAATACTGCTTTCCATTGGCTTTCCATTATTAAAACCCCAGCAAGGCAATGTCAGCAAGACAAAATTCATTAGCAGAAGATAATTATATTAAAATGGCCAGTAGGGGGGAAGCGCAGAGCAATGTTTAGCAGTCAACATGTAATGACAGTACTGTACATCTGGACAGATACTGAATTTGAAAGTAAAATGGACATCCCTCAGTTGGAAATAACCAAATCATTAATTTAACCACAGCCATTAATGCAATAGCCCATTTTAAAGGGCAAGATGGTTAGATAATTAGGGTGAACAAGATCAGCCTAGCAGTGTAGCTTCAGTGCATTTCTTGTTCTTGTGCTGCAAATGTCATAACCTGACCAGGGCCTGTATTTATAAAGTATTTCAGAGTAGCAATGCAGATCTAGGATCAGTTTTAGATCATACAATATCAGCACTCTTACTATGAGACGCTTTATGAATACGGGCCCAGAGCTCGTATATCCCAGGAGAAACAAAAGGAAATTAACTGACTTGTCTGATGGGTGGTCTGGCTACAGAGGAGGGGAAGAGTAGGAGGGGCCAGGATGTGAGGGGGTTGATGGGGTTAAAGGTTACCTGGGTGTGGATCTCCTCATTGATGGAGCGCTTGGCCTCCTGCTTCTTCTTCACGGCTAACAGGTCCACCAGGGGTTTGATAGTCATGCCCTGAGAGGGGGAGGAGGAGAAGAGAGAGAGAGAAGGGAGATGTTACTAAGGTAACATTTGAGATCCTGAAGAACAAAATTATAAATGTCCATCTTTAAATACTACACGACATCAGCGACCTAAGAGAAGCCTGTAATGTCCATTACAACACCTTTCATTCGTGTGCATGGTGTTTACTTACTGCACAGAGAAGCACTGGCTATGGACAGATGCACACATTCACACTATGAGGTGATTTGCAAACTAACGCATATTGACTAGGCCTTACCCAAACTAAAACATGCCGCACACACACACACACACACACACACGTCAGGCCCCTCCCCCCCGACCCTTTTTTCTCTTATGGTGTGTGAGGAGTTGCTAAAAACCTTTACTCTTGACTAGAAGCAGCAGCTCAGGTGGAAATAAAATACATCCAATGTCCTCCCATAAAACACACACAAATCAAAAGGAATACCTCGGATGAGGGGTGACTTTCATATCATTTATTTTCATAGCTACTGTATTCTGTATCCATTTTGTGTATGTAGCAGTCAAGCAACATTTGCATTTAAATGAAGTTATGCGCAGGTGGTTGGTGGTCCGTGCATAAGGCCGTTCCATCGATGGCTGAGTCATGCTGGGAAAAGGTTTGATCAGAGCTGGTTAATATACAACTTGGCATATTGGTTCTAGCAATCTCTTTTATCCTGTTCCAGTGTGCATCTGTCTGTCTGTCCATGTGTGTGTAGGCTTTAGCGTATCATTCTCTCTCATAAGGAGATTAAGTCTATCTGGTTAACTTTACACCCTAAGTAGATGACAACAAATTCTGGCCCTTAAATAATACCCCTGTCAGTACCACGCACACACACCCAATCAAAACACATGCATATAAACACTTACACATTCTAACAGGCTAACACCACACACACATTCCTACTGCAGCAAATCGCACCACTGTAGGTGAAACCCCCACCTAGTCTATAGCTAAGAACATCCCAGACTGCCAGCACTGAGTAAAAAAAAAAATGAATGAGTCATTTCCTGAAGACATTATATAAAAGGCTTATAGAAGGCTTTCTTTTAGTAGCAGCCATTTTGGGGATACTCTGCCAGGTGACGCGTGTCCTAGAGCGTCAACATGCATCAACAGTTTCACTGTAAGATGAGTTTGCTCAGCAGGACTGGGGAATATTTGACGCAAGGAGCTTCAAAACGGACCGTGTGTGTGCTTCAAAGTAGTAGCTGCAGTGACATTTTGTCACACCAGCATTGCATTGGGCTGAAACAAACCATGAAAACCATTGACTACTTTAGGCCTTGAAATATACTAAGGACAAGAGAGCAAAAGCACAATTGAGCAGCAAAGCAAACTATTTTGACACAAAAGCACTCTGTAATATAGTCAACTTCCTACTAAATTCGGAATAAATAAAAATGCTGTCCTTTGTGTTCACTCAGTGACAATTTTTATTTGATAGTTAGATAGAGGGTTGCCAGGTACCAGATATTTTTGTGCCGTCTTGCCAACTCCTATGGTCATTGGCATGACAACTATGGCTGGCGTGATCACTGTGGTCATTGGCGTGACCACTGTGTTCATTGGTGTGACGAGGTGGCGAGACAGCACGAATCAGATCTGGGACCAGGCTAGAGGACTGGCCCAGTACCCACCTGTACAAACACGGTGAAGAAGATTTCGGTGATGATGGCGGTGAGGAACATGGTCCTCATGGGGAAGTGGTCCTTGTCTAACAGGTAGCCCAGGGAGAAGGCGATCGCCCCTCGTAGGCCACCGTAGGCCACAATGAACTGGTCCTTGGTGGTCAGCTTGACGATGCGGAACTTGTTGATGATAAAGGTAAGGCCCACCACGCCTGGGAGAGAGAGAGAGAGCGCAGAAGAGAATCAACCTGATTGACTCCATGTCTGCTCCCTCCTTACACACAGCCAATACCAGCCTCTTTACAACCTAAGAAAGGTTAAGCATCCACTTTCCAAATTGATAAAAAGCTTGAGAGAGAGAGAGAGAGAGAGAGAGAGAGAGAGAGAGAGAGAGAGAGAGAGAGACAGAGAGAGAGAGAGACAGAGACAGCGAGACAGAGAGAGAGAGAGCACAAAAACGCAGAAAACTATAGGATGTTTGGTGAGAATAGAGAATGGTCAATGGTGATAAAGTGCAATGTCAAGTCACTAGGTTTCAAACTAGCAAGCAAAGTCAGATGGAGGTCTGCTTTGGGTCTATCTATAACTGCGGAAATGACATAATACTTAAAATATTTATGCTTCCTTTTTTAGGGACGTGTATCTGACGAGTCTGTTGATATCTGGGCTTCCTCGATGTGAGGACCATGTGGAAACCACAAGGAGCACTTCCTCTAACAGTTGCCTCATTACCTGAAATGTAGTGACTGGTATTTCAGTCTGGCTCCAAGAATAACTATCCCTTGTCAAATTGAGAAAGTAAAAAATCTGTATCACATCATCTACAGAAACAACTTGACCAAATGATGACAAACTATGAGAAAGTTGGGCCTGTCATGTAATTTCTCTCACTATCTTTTGGAGTCATATGATGTAGAGACTTGTTCAGTACTGTGAGGAAGGTATCCATGTCTGACTCACCAATTACACGTGACACCAGACAAAGGATGACGGTGACGGAGACGAAGGTCCAGTTCCAGGCATGCGGCCCGGCCACCGTGGCCACGCCCAGGAAGATGAAGATGAGCGTCTCACTCACGCTGCTCCACATCTTCAGGAAGTACTTGATGGTGGTGTGGGACTTGTGGGATACGTTGGCCTCCACGTAGGGCCGCATCACCGCGCCGCACGCAATCAGCCTAGAGAGAGAGCAGGACAAGGGATGATTATAAATGAGTTCTCTGAGAAATAAAACTTTTTATTGTCTGACAATGTTCCATCATTTAATGTCTATTCTGAATTGTAGTATCTTAGATCGAACACTCCAGACATGTAAGTACGTTTTAGAATTGAATTCTGCCATCTATTGCCATCTATTGGTAAACAGAATACTTACCATAAATATACCAGGGGCAACATATATACACACATGTTATTATTGATCAAATCAGAGCCATATTATATTTGTGCGCTCGTGAATGAGCCCTACCACCCCACCTTTTATGGTAACAAAAACACCATAATTTGCTGTATGATTTGGAAATGTTGGAACTGGGCAATGATAGTTTCTAAAAGAAAGCGCAATGGCAAATTTGATCACATTTCTGTAGAAGTGTGGGCAGAATGTTTGAATCTTTTGCAGTGACTTTTTCAAACAAAAAATGCATACCGCCTATAGCGAGTGCCAAACACTGGCCACACATTCTCCAAGATTGATTGTCCTTTCAAACTACCTAAAAAGTAGCCTAAATGCTATAGCCCACACTTGTATGCAAAAGATGAATTGTTGTTCAATATTTGTGTATCAATACATGATTGTGTTTCTATCTCCTGCCTTGGTATAGGCTCAGATTATATAGGCTTTGATGTCGCGCTCCTATCGCACAGCACTGTAGCCTACACATCCTGTCAAATATGTTCAATAGGCTACCCGTCTATTTACTTTCGAGCATGCTTGGCTATTGAATGAGAGTTACGTTCTACAAAAACATGAATTTAGTTTCCCCATTACAAAAACATTTAAGACAGCAAAAATATATATACAATTTAAAACTATTTCAATTGATCAAGTGCAGTAGTCTACTATTTGTTGTGTAGCGGGAATAAACCAGTCAGGTCAGAAAAGGAGAGACATGTCCTGCAATAGGATTATGACTTAGGCCTATATAATAAAGGTAAAAAGAAACACGTTAAGACTACACGCTGCTATGCGATCTCCTTACCAACGGCAAATGAATCCGTTTTATCATTAGGCCTACGTTTTCATGTTATTAGCCTACCATTATTATAATTCCTGTGCATCAAACACTTCCATTTCATCCACACAAAAAAAACGACATTTGCTCGCAATACAATTCATCAACCACAAGAAGTTAAGCATGGTCTGAGCTGTACGTGGAGATGCGCACACTTTCCCGTCAACCTTTGCGGGAAAACTGGTGCACAAAAGGTTTAGTATTTTTTGTGCGCACGCACTTTAATAATTACGCCCCAGGTTACTACATGAATCCAACTACCTACAGCGTAAATATAGGCTACATTACATTCAAGTTAAAGCTAATGACTAAGTTATAGCCTAGTACTTCATTGACATGGCATAGAAAGCAGTCACATAACAATTCAACTGGTTTAAAAACAATACAGTACATGTATTTTTAAGTATTTACATGCTAAGAGAACAAGTCCTTCAAGGACAGTAGAGCCATAGCAACAAGGATACGGTTTGTTTTGGAAACTGTGTTGTAAGAGCTTATGAAACAAGAGCTCCATTTCCTCAGCTTGTTCCACGAGAGAACCAATGACTCACTGTGATTGGACTTACGGAACCCGAGTTAAGATGTCCACATCCCCTCCCCTGTACAGCATGGCAACACCTCTCTATTCCTAGTGTCTAGTGTGAGGCAACCCTACTCAGTGACTGTAAGGGCTGCTAGCTACCTCATTACCTTACATAACACACTGCAGTTGTCCATCATTCCGTCCAATTTCACTCCGGGGGCGAGATCTCTGGCATTCAGCTAATATAAAAAATTATAAAAGATAAAAGGCTTGGGGAGAGGTGAGCCTTTTCCCATTGTATATATAGGCCCATATACAAGCACTGGACAAAAAGCACTATATACTAATCCAAATCCTCTTTACGATGGAAGGCACGGACGGAGCACACAATAAGCCTCGGAACAGACTGTCCTACAGTCCTACCATTGCTCCTGTCAACAGGAAACTCAATTCATCAACAGCACCTATGTTTATGATCCATATTTCATAACTCACCACCTTTTATAAAAAGAAGGAGAGTAAAGCGGAGGAGAGGAGAGGAGAATTATATGTATCACAGGAGTACTTTGCTAGGGCCAGAGGCATGACAGGGGGGGTGTAAATTGAGCGTTGTATCCCTGCTCTGGGTTGTACATCAGATGGCCTGTCACGACATGTAGGTGAGTTACTGCCGCTGTGATATAATTCATATGGATCTCCTTGGCTGGGACAGACCCAGTTCCATTGTATTTATTTGACCATTTAAATCATGAATATTGCCAAGAAGCTATGAATCTAATTCAGTGTACACTTAGGAGTGAGATTATTTTCCAAGGAAATGTAGAAGATAATGCAGGAATTAGACAGTCATACTTTTCCTTTAGCTAAACATAGAATCAATGGTGTTGCTGGACCAGCCTGACAGGTTCAAAAGATCATGTATCACAGCCACTCTGTCAATGCATTATAAACACTAAACCTACACTTAGCCTCAGCCCAACAATAACTCTCACAGAAACCGTTTTTTATTATCAACAATATCTAGGATTCATGACAGAGAGAAACTCAAAAAACCTTGGCCACTAGGAAGATTGTGTGTGAGTGTGCGCACGCGTCGGTCTGTCTGTCTGTCTGTGAGCGTGTGCGTACCCCCCACCCCCTACTTACGCCATAATTCCAGACAGGTGGAACATCTCAGCCGACAGGTAGGCCATGTAGCTGTAGACGAACACGAAGAGGGGCTCGATGACGCGGGTGTGCGAGGTGAACCGGGAGGTGAAGGCCGCCAGGATACCATAGATGGCGCCCACGGCGATGCCGCCCAGCGATACAATCAGGAAGCAGATGACCCCAAGGACCACGTCCATTGGCGTTACCTCACCTGCGCCAGAGTACTCCTCAAACAGGTGGTATAAGACCTAGAGAGAATGGAGGGGGTTTGACACTTTAGAGCCTACAATCGAAAATAAACAACCTGTTTGGATTCCGTTGGTAAAAGCATGGTGCTAGCCTGCCAGGGTCATGGGTTTGATACCCGCTGGGGCCACAATAAAATGCACACTCCCCCTGTACTGTGGATAAAAGGGTCTACTGAGTAGCATATAAACCAGCGATATTATATGGTCTAACGTTTTGGTATAGTCACTACAGAAAAGATAAATGTTCTCAATCTCTCGTGGACAGAAACACGTAACATAAATTGTATCATAGCGTCTGTCAGACTGTGAGATGCGACAACTAACAAGGAACTTTGTTCCGGGGCCCTGATTTAGTCACTGATCATTTGGACAAATCACAATTTCACAGGTGCTTGCATTTCTGCACACTTCGCCTGTCTGGCCCACAATATTAAAATGGTTCGGCTGAACTGTCATTGATTTAAGTCTCATGACTCCAAGGCTATTTTAAGTGAACTAGTCCTATCAAACACTATGGAGCAAACAAGACAGCCAGTGTGTGGGTATAATCAGTAGAACATAAATATAGCAACAGGAACCACTGTGCCTCAGGACGCAAACAGGAAAAGAAAATACTCCAAATGTTTTTTCTACTTTATATTTTCAATGACCAACCCATAAGAGAGAGATGGTCCATCCCACAACTGTTTCAACAGAGGAAAGAGAAGGAAGTGGTGAGAAGGCACTGGGGGCCCACTAAACTGGGTCATCTTTTGTAGAAGGTCACACATTTCCAAAACCTAACCAACCAATCACTTGTGAGGAGTCAAATGTGACGTCAGCTAGAAGGTATGAATTCAATATCCAGTGACATAAATATGGTGGGATTTTCCTAAAAGACTAGGCCTAATTGAATCTGGCAAGATGGGCCAATTTGGAATTAAGCTATTCTGATTTCTTGTGCCAGTCCAAATCAATATCCTGTCCACAGAAATAAGAACACAATCACAGGCCAACTAAAAACTGAGTCATCTTTATATGGAGGATGAATGTAGCCTACTTCTGAAAATATAGTTTTGTTTTATTATATTGTAGTGCATAACATAGTGCTGTATAGTACTGTATAGTACTGTAGTGCATGGCATTATCTTATTTGGGGGGTGACCCTGACGTGAATGTACTGTAATTCATTCATTGATTGACTGTCTAGAATTGCATTGTACTGTATTTCCCTGCATAACACCACATACCACCCCACCGCCCACTCACTCACCACAGTGACGGCATCATTGAGCAGCGACTCTCCGAACACCAGAATGTGCAGCAGCTCGTTGATGTGGATCTCCTCAAACACAGCCAGCACGGCCACCGGGTCCACGGCCGAGATGATGCTCCCGAACAGCAGGCAGGGCAGCAGCTCCACCTGGCTCAGGTTGGTGCCCTCGATCTGGCACACGGCGTAGAGGAGACCCCCTACGAAGAAAGCGTTCCACAGGGTGCCAACCACGGCGAACATCAGGATGGTGCCGATGTTCTCCATGAAGGGCCGGATTGGCAGGAAGTAGCCCGCATCCAGGATGATCGGGGGGAGGAGGCACAGGAAGAAGAGTTTGGAGTCCAGCACGGGGGGTACCTCCTCGCCCGCCAGCTTGATGAGGCCCCCGACCAGGAGGCCCACCACAATGAGCAGACAGGACTCGGGCACGATGCTGGACAGCCGCGGAATCAGGTGGAACCCTGAGGGAGGGAGGGAGGGAGGGAGGGAGGGATTAGATGCATTGTTCTCATTGTTACCACTTTCAAGGCAGCATCTCGAATGTACCAGTCACCTGAAACTTCACTGAAGATAATAACCATAATTCAAATCACCAGTGACTCACTGAACCTGTTTGAGTTAAATGCACCACCAAAAGCATATTCAGTTTCTAAGTGAGCCACCACACTCATAGTGCTTAGTAAGGTCCAGATACTGCCAAATTCAAATGGATGAAATGTATCAACTAGTCTTAATTACCTCTGAAAAAAGTAATCAGTATTCAGAATAGGCTTAGTTTATAAAAGTGGAACAGAAACACATTATTTTGATATTTTTCAGAGCTCATTTAACATGCCATTTCAACAGACCAGAACATGTCTAGGCCTCGTAGATATGGCTGGTGGGTGAGAATGCACAGAAGAAACAAACTTGATAGATGGCCAGAATCTGCAAGTCAAAACAACCCTAAACATAACACAGGAAGTCACAACAAATAAAGGGCCAAAGAACCAGGAACAGAACACAAGAAGGGTCTGCTGCATCTTAGCAATGTCACATACCACACACCCACAGTAATCACATGCATTTCCTCAAAAGTGGAAATGGTTATGCAAAACAAATTCCTCACAATATGAATCTTGTGACTCCATTAATAGAGAAACCACACACAGACAATCGGCCACATCCATTCCCATAGTGATCATATGACATGATCACCGAGGAAAACTTGACTGAAAAAGGTTCACTTTGCTACGAGATGTCGCCAAGCCAATAGATGGTGCTGCTGTTATGTGTATCTGAGTGTGATACTATATAGTACTAGTGAGCCAAGTTACACATGTATGCATGCTACAGAGTGATGCTGAAGTAAATACTTTATAATCAACATTACCTTGCTCTTGTATAGAATAAACACCATACAAAACATGGTGTCAGAAGTCAGAACCAAATAGGTATATCCTTGAGGAATCAAAATATCAAAACGACACACGGATAAATGCACAGTAGGAAGGGGCGTGCCAACTAGCTAACGAGCTACAAAAAATTTGAATAACGACAATGGCTTACCTGGTAATTCCAGTACCAGAGCCTATGGACATTTTTTCGAGCACAATGGGAAAACTATGAGATAGCTACAGGTATGGACAAAAAGGAAGCAAAAGTCTGCATAGCAACTCTGCTAACCGTGATGGGAAAGGACATATGACCCCAGCCATTCAATGAAATGTCAACTAGACACAGGATCAACAGTGAATGTCATAAGCTCCAACAGAGGGAGTTAACAGTTCTCCGGTACAGCGACTCATGTCCAGTTCTCCTGTTTATGAGTCATCTTCATTTGTTGGGTAAAGGAAGATGTTACAAGATGTCGCCACGCCAACAGATGGCGCTGCTGTTATGTGTATCTGAGTGTGATACTATTTAGTACTAGTGAGCCAAGTTAGACATTACTTACGATGCACTGAATGGAGCAGTTTGCATGCTACAGAGTGATGCTGAAGTAAAGACTTCATAATGAACTTGTATAGAATTAACACCATACAAAACACACTTCAACTTGATGTTAACTAAGCCTAAATGTAACAGAAAATGATACAGGATGTGACAACAGTCCTTTCTCTGATGGTTTATTTCCTAATCCCATTTCTTTGGGAGTCATTTCAAGTAAACTATCGCAATTAGCTGCCATGGCTCAAGGCAACATAATTAATGCAGGCTCAGATAGGCTACCCTAGTCCCTGGGCCCAGTGTTTCAAAACTTTGAATCTTCAATCAGAATGAAAAAAAATCCTAAAACATAATTCCACTTTGGCATTATGGGGTTTTGTGTGTAGGCCAGTGACACAAAACCTCAATTTAATCCATTTTATATTCAGGCTGTAACGCAACAAAATGTGGAAAAAGTCAAGAGGTGTGAATACTTTCTGAAGGCACTGTATGCAGTGTATTAAACCTTAGTTACATTGAATTTTCTTGGTTGTAGGGCCTTTCACCTTTCTAAATCTACCTTGAATCCACCCTTCCAGTGGGATTGAGATAATCCAGATTTTCAGCATCAAAACTACACTCTTAGGGAAAATAAGTGCTTTCTAGATCCTAAAATGGTTCCTCGGCTGTCCCCATAGGAGAACCCTTTGAATAACCCTTTTTGGTTCCAGGTAGGACCCTTTCCACATAGAGTTCTACATGGAACCCAAAAGGGTTCTATGAGGAACCAAAAACAGTTCTCCCTGCAACCAAAAAGGGTTCTCCTATGGGTACAGCCGAAGAACCCTTTTGGAACCCTTTTTTCTAAGCGTGTATCCTAAATCACTACCTTTGAGTTTTGAAAAACACAAAAACAACATTCAAACCTCCTGATTAAAAAGGTCAGATTGGATAACCTTATCCGGTTTTGAAAAACCCAATTCTAACATTTAATCCTATCTGATTGACGAAATCCGATCAGATAACTTTTGAAAACCTGGGCCTGGGAGACTCTGCTAAATGAATGCCTTTTCAAGCCTTATGTGGAAACTGCCTGACAAATGTTTTTAAGGGGGAAATTGTTCAATGACTAGTTCTGATAGGCTAGCCAGTCAATGGACTGCATCAGACACTATGTGACGCTTCAAATCCCATTCCTCCTGAAGCCTTTCTGTAGTCTGACACGAAACCCTGACACAGTATCCACACAGTGTATATTTACACTGCTGCCGCATGAGGTAAGGTCACCTTCCAAATGACATCGTGCCACCGAGTTACATTGCAGCCAGTCTCAAGGCCCACCTTACAGACCATGACTCTGCAATATTAAAGCTTCTATTAAAGTTTAGGTGGTGAGCGTGGCAGGGGGCACTGTCAGCCCATCGGTGTATCTGAATTTGAGAGAAAACGTTAAGAGACGCTGTGTAGAGAAGTTTCTGCATTTTTAAGTCAATTTCCTGCATTTCTACACATTTCTCCATGGAGCGGAGAGAAAATGTTGCATTCTAAAGCACATTTTGCTGCTATTCTATGCATTTTGCCATGGCCAATGCTGTGTTATTTTGCTCAAACATAAAATCAATACTGCTAAATTCATTGTTTTGGGTATTTTCCTTTCTCCCTGACTGTCTAGCTTTTATTTTTGTCATTCTTAGTTCTCAAAGATTATATTATGAAAAACAGATATAGTAGGTCCATTATCGTTTCTACATCCTTTATATGTGGTTCTGTAGCTCAATTGGTAGAGCATGGCGCTTGTAACGCCAGGGTAGTGGGTTCGATCCCCGGGACCACCCATACGTACAAATGTATGCGCACATGACTGTAAGTCGCTTTGGATAAAAGCGTCGGCTAAATGGCATAATATTAATAATAATATAATAATATTAATAATAATATTTAATAATAATATTATATCTGGTTTAGTAGTTTAAGTTTACACTGAAAGCGTTTTTCCATCACAAAAAAATGACCAAACATTATTTTATTTTCATGTTTTACTTTTTGGACGCTTAAGCACCCTGCCAAATAAATTAATTAGAAGAAAAATCCCTGATATTAAAGTGTGGGATGGCACGTTGGCAGCCATTCAGCGAGGGTAGGGTTGGCACATTGGCAGCACCATCTGGTCTGGCTAGCACAGGGTGTGATCCCACTGGGACAGAGAAAGGAGATGAGAGGCAGGCAGGAAGGCAGGTAAACTGCCCTTCTCAAACACTCACACATTTTTACATTTACGTCATTTAGCAGACGCTCTTATCCAGAGCAACTTACAGGAGCAATTAGGGTTAAGTGCCTTGCTCAAGGGCACATCGACAGATTTTTCACCTAGTCGGCTCGGGGATTAGAACCAGCGACCATTCTGTTACTGGCACAACGCTCTTAACCACTAAGCTACCTGCCGCCCCACACACACTCACACACTCACACACTCACACACTCACAACTCACACACTGAGCATAGTTAATTAGCATGTCACCATTAGCAGATCACACAGTTCCATAATGGTCAGGGTCCTTATTGCTGTCAGAGGTTTTCAAGGATAAGGGGTCAGGAGAGGAATGTGTGAAAAAGAGCAAGCATTTACAGTGGGAAACAGTAGAGTCTGTGAATTATAAAATAATGAACATTGGGAATGTCTGAGCAGATGATGCCTTCGCCTAGCTTAAACGTGCTCAGCAAACTCCTGGGTATACAGGGCATCTGATGTTTTTCATCAACTCAGTCAGCTGGAAGGCAACACTTTCAGTGTTGGACACACTCTTTCACGGGTTAAACAAGGCCATCTCTATGGAGTCCAGAACACTGCCAAACACAGCTGCTGTTTTAAAGTACTACAGTGCTAGCTCCGAGGAATGTCCAAGGAATTCCAGTGATGAACGGCCCAAAGAGGCCTAATCTTCCCATAAAGAGATGTGGTGCTTGGGGCACTCTTCTCCTTTCAACAGGCTTCGTCAGGAGACTGGCACCCTTCCACAATTTAGAGGAAGCATCTTCACCATGTGGGCGAACAAAGGAGTTAAGATAACACAGACTGCTTGGAGGACACTACAAAAGGCTCAGGCTAGATTTGAGCATCACTCGTTTGAGAGCTTGACGTGTACCATTCTTACTCCGAGACTTGTGTTTAAGCGAGATCTGAGAAACGCATTAATCTCTGACTGATTTGATAGAATGCTGGCTGTTTAATTAAAGTTGCAATTAAAACAGATAGACATTAGCCTACTGTCAGCATGCAGTCAAATCTATAACCACTTTTGGAGCCAACTAGTGCTCTCAAATCATATCCTGATGTCGCAAGTAGATGGGAGTTGTATTTATAACATTGATAACTTAGCTAGCTAACATACATTTCGGGAAAAGTTATATTAAGTGGCTAACTAGCTAGCTAGCATTAGCAACGTTTGGTGGTCAATGAGACAGAGCTAGTTAACCAGCTGAGCTAACAAGTAATGTAACAAAAGTATATTTTGGATTTGAAAAATCCTCCATCAACAGGCTCTGCATTTCA